TTTGCATGTTATACATGTATGGGGATAACAAGGAATTTTTGGAGATATTTTCAATACTATCGAGTTTTTCACCCTTTATGGGATCGGTTTCCGGGTCCAACCAGTGGGGGTTTGACTACATTGGTGACGTAAATTAATATACCGATGAGAATAGCTTGGCTTGATATGGTCCCCGGCCCGCCGCATCTTCATTTCTGCCAAAAATCAGCTAAATTTGCAGAAAAACGCAGTTTTATGCCTGAAGACGTGATGATAGAATTTTGCTCTGAACACAAAAAAACATTCAAATGGTACCAGCAATCGATTCCAGTTTGGATCTAGTCAATATCTCTTCCGAGAAAAAAGTTAATTTTTTGGACCTATGATCTCGGTTCACCATCTGAAAGGGGGCGGAGCTCAAAAAATTATGTGGCATAAGTATAAGTAGTGTTGGGGTGACACACACAAAAAATATCAGAACACTTGGACCAGTTTGAAACTTTTGTACATTACTGTCCTCGGGTTTATCAGAGAGCGTGTCTTAACCGGCCAGTTTTTGCTCAGCTGGTTGCTGTTTAGTTGCTTAGGCAGTGCCTAGCTGCTTAGCTGCTCAGCTGTTCAGCCAGTGCTGCCTACTTCCATCCTACCTGCTTAGCTGTTACTTCATTAGCCGCTTAGCTGCTCCCTGAGAGCTTACTGTCTAGCTGCCTATCCCTTTGTTGTGAGCTGGTTGGTGCATTGCTCAGGACAGTCCCCAACTCAAGAAACACCTCCTGCTATTTTTTTTTCAGAATCATCCAAAAAGTACACATACCCATAAACACCCTACCATTTATGTATATAAACAGCAGTTTTACATAAATATATCCCCCAAAAATTACCTAGTCAATCCAGTTTCTCTCTCTCTCTCTCTCTCTCTCTCTCTCTCTCTTTCTTTCTTTCCATACATTTATTCATGGATAGGTATTTAGACTATGATTATGACGGCAGGATTCCCAAATTGACCACCCTAAACCGTTTTCTGCCAGCCCTCTCTAGGAAAGCAACGCAAACTTTTTGGGTTAAAACACTTTCACTTTAGAAACAAAAATTAGACATAGAGGGGGAGAAACAAAAAAAATGATAGGGCGGAGAAAGGTTCTTCTTCTTCTCTCTCTCGGTGAAATTAAAAGTAATTCGGTTAGTGTAGAAACTTTCCCGTCCTCTTTCGACCCCAATTTACTATTTTCTACTTTCTTTTTTCTTTGGCATGGCATTGTTTTTTGTTTTGTTGTGATGTCTTGTTGTTTTCTTTACATCGGAAGAAGAAGGGTAAGATGAAGAACGACGCCTTCATTTTTCAGGATGGGAGGGGGGGGGGGGTCTTCCTGGAGGCGTTGGGAGGGAATTTTTGAAAGAAAAACAGTCAGTAGACTTTTTTTTTGAAATATTATGTGGAAAAATCTAGAAATTTTGAGGTTAGTCTCCAAAAATGTAAAAAAAATCATGATTAGCATCTTTTTTTTTGAATTTTCCGGTTTTTTGCATTTTGACCCAATTTTTCTAATACAACCTTTTATGATAGTTATACCAATCGATAAGGAATTTTCAGTTCCATAACTTGGTTTTTTAGTTTTGCAAAGTTTTAGAAAACTAACATCTCTAGAATAAAAAAAAAGAATACAGAATACTGGTCGTCTATCCAAAATCGTTCTCTTTTTTACTCTCGGAGGATAGTTTTTTTTGAATACGTGTTTTTTAAGAGTGTTTTTTCTAATGAAAAAAAAAGAAGTAGTAGAGCAAAAAATTGATGTATCGACTGGTATAAATATCATATAGGTTTCTTTTCCAGAAAATCTTCCATAAAATTCGAAAAAAAAATTAGTACCAAAATTTTCGAACTTCCCAGTTTTTCCTATTTTCACCCCATTATGCTAAAACAATCCTATACCAATCGATAGAAAATGTTTTCCTCTACAAATCCCGCTATCTTATTCCTGAAAACACTACTAAAAATGAGACCTCCAGAGCAGTCCCAACAGGAAGCGTCATACTTTTTTGTCAGTCTCATTTTTCAGACCCATTCATACACCGTAGAAACTGATCCGGTTTTTTT